TACATTTTTTATATAAGAAGTCAGCTCAAAAATGAGGTTAGAAACTGGGCAGTTGCCGTTGTTTGTTAAATTCGATGCATCTTGGCGAAGAGTGGCAACATTCATTCAAACTTTAAATATCTCGACATTAAAAATGTTTGTATAACGCTTTCCCACCACTTGAATATCATCATTATTTTTGTCTAAATGACAGTCCAGTGTGTTTTCCTGTTTTCACGGTAAAACAGTAGCACATCCAAGCGACTACGGAGCCGTACAACTTGAAAATACATGCACGTCTGATTTATCGTTGAGTCTTATTACGTGCTCGATTTGTGACAAAAAATAGTGGCGGTTCGTAGCGGAAACTTTGGAACTACAGTTTCAAACAATTACCCATCAGTTAGACTCTGCAAAAACTCAATTAAAGAAGGGGGCCTGGCGCCATCTAGCGGTGTTTGATAAATCTATTGGATAAGGTTTGAGTCTTGGCAGAGAGGAACGTGAGAGCGGACAACATGGTGTTTTCGACGACACCGACTTTCCGCACTGGGAAAGGGCGCCATCTGCATCCATTTTGAGAAGGGAACTACTATGCTACATCCACTTTCAGGTTTCGGCGGTAAAACCTGTATGTAGTGGCAGTCCGTATTACATCCATTTTTAGGCGGTTTATGTCCGTGCTACAACCATAATAGCGTACTTGACAAACATGGTCTCGCATATTGTTACGCGTTTATAACATGAATTAACATGTTAACATGTGCAAAAAAAAAAGAATTGACATTGTGTATGATTAATATCATGAATATCATACGAAGTGTCCGGTAATAATCTGCCAACCCGAAGTGTGAGGGTAGATTGGGTTGAGACAAACATAAAAGTCCCATACCATTTTGCGAGATTCGCAATAATTATCGAGTTATTAATGACAGAAATCTGAGGAGTAAAAGCGCGCCGACATAGATGATTTGAAAAGCGTTACAGCTGCTCGGGGCAGCGATCATGAATCTTTTCCCTAGCGTGAACTAACAAAAAGTGAAAGACTTCTGTGAATCGGTGAAAAATGAAAAATTTTATATGAATTTGTGAAAATCGAAACATTTCACACGACAATTGAATCGTTCAACATGGCAGTTGTGCGTTCTGGATAATTCAATGAATACCAAAGAAATCAAAATGATCAAAATAATAACGTCCGTGTAGTCCGAAGGATATTACGTGACACGCAAAATCCGTTTGATATAATATCCAAAGAAAATGTTTCAAAATATGTATGTACAGGTAATATAAAAACCTTATGCACCGACGAGATATACTACAAAGACTGATGGCCTTACGGGATTTAGCGTACCAGAGAAATTTCCCTGGTGAGGCACCCGGGCGAAAGAGACCGTCTCGCATTTAGCGCAGTAAAATTTAATGGAAACTCATACTTTTCAATCCTTTTCTTCGAATCAAAAAGATTCAGAATTCAGACATATTCAAAATGTCAATACTTTTTAATACGTTCCAATTCGACATTTTATACAGGGAAGCAGGACGAAGGGAATGGGATGCGGGCAACGATACATCATGCGTCTCCAGACGTGTCAAATCGTTTATTATAGAGGAGACTTTGATACGGCAACATGTATTCGAATATTTAATCGTCCCATGGACCATTTATATATAATAAAAAAGAAATTAACGCGGGTAAATGAACGATTCGTATCAATTTTTCCTTTTCTTATAGAGCAATGAAAGAGTAAATCAGTATCGAAAATCGAATACCAATTAATACCATAAATCAGTGTCAGAAAATTGTCCAATGACTACTTGTTCTCATTTTTCAGGTAGCTACCGCTGTAATTTACATAACAAATTAACTCGGTTAAACGAAAGATTCGTACCAATTTTTCTTCTCTTATAAAGAAATGAAAGAATAAATCAGTACCGAAAATCGAAGGCCGATCAATACCTAATTTATTCATCAAATTAACGCGAATTAATGAACGATTCGTATTAATTTTCTGTTTTCTTATAGAGAAATGAAAGAGTAAATCAGTACCGAAAACGAAGACCGATCAATATCTAACTTATTCATCAAATTAACTCGGATAAACGAACGATTCGTATCAATTTTTCTCTTCTTATAGAAAAATGAAAGAGCAAATCAGTACCGAAAATCGAAGACCGTTCAATATCTAAATTAACGCGGATAAATGAACAATTCGTCTGAATTTTTTCTTTTCTTATAGAAAAATGAAAGGAGAAATCAGTACCGAAAATCGAATACCGATCAATATCGAATTTATTCATCAAATTAACATGGATAAACAAACGATTTGTATCAATCTTTTTTTCTTTTATAGAGAAATCAAAGACTAAATCAATACCGAAAATCGGATATTGATCAATACTATAAATCAGTGTTACAAAATTGTCTAAGTGCAATGACAAGTTGTTTTCATCTTGCAGGTACTTATCCCACTAATTTACTCAACAAATTAAGTCGGATAAAAGAAAGATTCGTATCAATTTTAATTCTCTTATAAAGAAATTAGAGAATTAGTCAGTTACGTATATTTAATATTATATAAAACTTACCTTTTTAAACAAAAAGGTACAAAAAGGCGCCAAGTACAAGCGCAACACGTATTGTGTTATTTTTAGAAGTATCAAACTCAAATTATTTTTTTTTATTGTATATATATATGTGTACATCAGTTTTTACAAGTAAAACTTATAACTATAATAAAACTCTGCAACACTTTTCTACTGTACAAAAAAGAAGTGATATATTAGAACAGTAGTGCCAACTGAGAAACCTAACATATATGATCATTGTATACTTAACTTAATATTTTTAGAAATCTCAAATTCAAATTATTTTCTTTTTTAAAATATGTATTATGTACATAACATAAGTTTTTATAATATATGTACATAAACTTTTAAAAGTAAAAATTATATCGTGTTATAAAAATTTTACACGTTTGTTAATAGTGTCCAATATTTAAACAAAACTATCTTTTTAAAGGTTATGTTATTCAAAATATTCAAGAAAATCTAGCTACAAAAAATGTCCATAACATAAATTTTTACAAATAAAATTTATCATTATTTATTAGAACACTGAGTTATATGGTTATTTTACTTGTTATTGTAACAAATTAATTATTATAACAATGCAATAAAAAATATTTGATACAAAAAATCTTGGTGCGGCTGCACCAGAAACTATATCGAACTAAAACTTGTTTAATACACATATGACAGCATTTTTATTACAATATATTCTATAATGAAGGTTTATAATTTATTTATTATAATATTATATAAACTTAAATAAAACATTATACCGTATACGTATAAAGAGAATTTACAAGAACATTTTATTATAATAAAAATGCTGTCATGTATGTATTAATCAAGTTTTAGTTCGATATAGTTTTTTAAAGTCAAATTAGATATCATTGACATTTCGTCAATTATAATAAGAATAACATCTTTGAATAAAAAAATATCAAAATATGTCGAATATACAGGGTGTCTCAGAACTTTGGGACACGGGCTCCGTAGGGACATGGAGCTAAGTAAGAAGAATAAAAAAGTCCTCTACCATAATGTGAAAATCGTAATAGTTTTTTAATAATAACCGTGTAAAATTTGGCGTTTCCCACGCCCAGCGCGGCCTATAGACGCTCCGCGGCAAGCTGTGTGCGTAGGGGCTGAGCGATAACGGGGCCCACGCTGACCGGCACGCTGCGTCAAAGCGCCAAGACGCCATCGCGACAGTTAGCACGAGACGCGTTATTGCTCAGCCCCTACGCACACAGCTTGCCGCGGAGCGTCTATAGGCCGCGATGGGCGTGGAAAACGCCAAACTTTACGCGGTTATTACTAAAAAACTATTACGATTTTCACATTATGGTAGAGGACTTTTTTGTTCTTCTCACTTAGCTCCATGTCCCTACGGAGCCCGTGTCCCAAAGTTCTGAGACACCCTGTATACATAATTTTGCTTCTATACGTGTCCACATTAAAATAAAACACTGTGGTACGGGGATACGATTATGAATGTGTAATGATTAATTATACAATTAAACGAAACAATTTCTTCTTTTCGTCATTCAACAGCGCTTTCTTTTGTGTGGACATATATAACTTTATATAATTATAAAGAAACAAAATTCATGTATGAATCATAATATATAATTTGACATAATATATAATATATATTTTTTTATATAAAAGATTTATACAGGATGTTTCAGAAAGGATGGGCTGGTTACGTATAATTATATATCCTTCTCATCGAGCCGTTCTTGCCATTGTCGGGACATCAAAATGAATTCTTTTAATCTTAATCCGACAATAGCTTTTAAGCTAAGCGTTTTAGGCACTATGTTTATATAGTAATTTTTTTGTTTGCTTGATGAGAAAGTACATATTGCTGGTACAAACATACAGTCAATCCATCTTCGATCGAATAGGCTCTTTTTTGAATATTTACTAGTATACAGAAGTATAATGAGTTCTCATTAAGCATTATATTGTCTTTAGGATGACGTTAAGGAACTGATGTCCATCGACAACACGTGGGACAAGTGGGACGCCTGGGCAGCCCAGGATGGTTCCAGCGATCATTAAAAGACGAGGCGCGCATTTTTATGTATTATGTGATAAATGTGATATTACTCCTCTTGTTGCTGAGAAATAATCAATGTTGAGTGTGGTACTTCGGTGGCAGGGGTATACCTTGTAAAAAAACGTCGCATGAATAAACCGCTATCATCGTCGGCAATCACGCTTATGTTTGTGCGCTGGCAAGTGTAATGTTGCCGTGATACAGATTACACGCTTTTCAACGCGAAGAACGAAGGGCCCGGAGGAAATCTCTCGTTTCTTAATGCTTACGACAAATAAAAAATAAAAAATAATATATATATATATTTGTTTTCCAGCACATGTTTACATTATATAACTCTACGTTCGATTTCTATAAAATATCTTAAGATATCTTAAAGTTTCTTAATATCTTAATATCTTAATATCTTAAAATATCTTAAAGATAGACACTTGTTGAGGTACAAAAATGCGAGCACGACCATGACCTGCATGTTACGTTATGTGCATCGGCGAGTAGCAGATTGAATAAAAATTAACGATAAAATATATCATATAACGTGCTTGAATTTCTCTGCGGCCTTTTCCGCACTCTTGACAATGAAGTCGGAGACTTTGCAGGTTCTGCTGCGCTGATATTTCCTGTATATAATCTTCGAAGGATTCCCCGTTTGCAGAACCAATTTTACCATAATTTGTTTTACAAAAGAGATCTGTCCCTCTTCCCATCTAAAATGAACGAATTTCGAGTTGGTGAACAAAAAATAGTTGCAAATGATCAGACTGTATCGCAATAATAATAGTTGTGTACACAACTTTAGGATCGCACACGTGTTACAAATTGTGTTTCCTGATAACAACAATTGTAATTTGCCGATATACATTTTTCCACCTTCAATAATAATTATCGCGCGGTAAACAACACTCTCGTTACGTTTCATTTCCTAAGTTACTTACATCGCAAGTGCCTCTTTATTTCCCAAGAGTTGACGCCACGTTTGGTCCGTGTTATTAGATGCGAGAACGAAATCAAGCGCCAATTCGAAAGCAGTTATTGCCAGCACGAATACTGAGGTAATGCATAAGCTTTCGTCTAACATGGTTACGTCGATCTATAAAGGAAAAGATCACTGATATTCGTGCGAATACGTTGGCATATCAAAGATCGTATTATATCAGAGATGTGCGAACTATTCGCAATCGAGTCGCGTCGAATCGAATCAGGCAAGACTTTCGAATCCTTATTGTTCGAATTGTCCGAACTATTCAAAGATTGCGAAAATCTAACACAAAATAAAATGCGCAAAAAAAGAATAAATCAATAAAATTAATCGATTATATTCATAAGATTAAGCAGTTAGGGAAGAACAGGATAGAGTTTTATAATATTATGGTAATTATAGTTCAGGATAATCTTTTTCTTATGTAAAAAGTTGATCCCCACGTACGTTGCAAGTTTGAAAAGAAATTCTCGTACGTTATCATACGTCCGAAAATTGTTCTCCCGCGACTTAAAATTACTTGCAATAATATCCAGCAATTGACTCCTGCAGACTATGTTATCAATTATGCCGTTAACTAAAAATTCATGTTTCGACGATTGAATTTGCACATCTCTAGCGTGCGCAGTATATATTTTTGCATCCGTACCAAATAGCTACCGCAAAAGTAGACACGCATGATCTCATCTTGATCGAGGTATCGAAGCGTTTGATTCAAACTCGATATGTGATACATAAGCAAAGAAAACGGATCGGCGAACCGCACGTTGAACTTGAGAGCTGAAAGTATTTTCTTCTCGTATATCAACAAACATCCCTCTCTTCTGTCGTACACATTTGTCGCCAGTTTCAACATCTTGGTTGCCTGAAAGAGGAAAAAAGTATACAGCGAGGAATCTCTCGGTCTCGTGAAATATTCGACGAATGAATTAATCAAGATTGCAATACGATTCTTTGAATCGCCATATGTACGTATTCATATTTCTTCTGTTCCAAAGACGGAAGATTGGATTACCGATGGTACTTTATAATTAGCCAAATCCCTCTTGAGAATTATCCAGAGACACGCTATAGCCAGCAGCTGTATCTGCTCCGTGTTTACCGTAATTCTGTCAACAGCGGTGTCAAACAGTTTGACAGCTTGGTAAATGATAGAAGACTCGTAGTTACAATGTGTCTGGAAATGATCACAGTCGTGGAAATCGTGACGCTCGACGTGCGAGGTTGAAAAGTATTTTCTGCCAATTCGTCGCGTCTCTCCCCTGCAAGGGGCTTCAACCGATAGTGCTTTTATTAAACTCACGCCAAGATATATCAAATATCCCACGATGATTCTCCTTTGTTGCGCGTTTATGTTTCCGCGCAGAAAGCCGAAGGAAAGCTTCGGAGCATTCTCCTCCCTTTCGCGTTCCGTGCTTGGCAAATACGTTAAATAATCATCCTCGTACGATATTTGATTGATGTCCTCTTCGTTGATCAAAAACTGATTTGCTGCCTCGTTTTGCCCGTGATGTACCTTTGCGAAAGATGCAAGCGTTTCTTTAAGTATCGTAGCAAGTGGATAATCGAGTAATCTCCAGTTTGTTTATAGTATAAAAAAAGTACATAACTATTTATAAATCTATAAATTTGAGAATTGTATATTTAAACATGTTAAATTAAGCCAGCCAACGTTAGAGACAGTATATTAAATTACGTGTATCGAGAATAAGATTATTTCATCATTCTATTTATAGAAGTTTGTGCGTCCTACCTTTGTTGGAGTCAACAATAGTCTCCTAGGACTACGCGAAAATGTTGCACAGTTAAAATTTATTTCTCCCGTAAATTGTTGATTGTCATCACAAGCACACATGCTAAAAACATGTTTGCAAATTAAGCAAAGTATATTCCAATTAGTCAGCCAAAAAATTCGGCTTGATTATTCAGTCAAATTTGACTTTATTACATTCAATATCCAAGACAAATTATCTATCAAAAGACGACAATATTTTGCCATCTTCTGCTGATGTGTTAGCGGAACATTATTGACGGATTGTTACTTGTAACACATTTACCGTCAATTATCGAAAATATTAATCGAATCTTTTAATTAACTCAATATGTCCTCATGACTTTTAGTTTGAAATAATTCCGAACCAAAATCAATGTTATAATTTTCCTTTTAACAAAGCAACATAACACAATTATAAATGTTCACAAGTTCAAACAAAAAATTATAATATCAATGCAATATTATTGTTATACTTGGAAAATAAATTAAACTCCGCGACTGATAACGCTGACGACAGAATTCCTACTTTCCGCTTGTTTCCATACAAATTGTCTTTAATTATAATTATCTTTAATTACATTATAATTTACCTCGCATCAGTGCCAGCTTGTGCACCCGAAAATGCCGCAGTTTGCGGAATCATAACGAATTCGTTCGAAATATACGACACCGCTGTATTCTTGGTGATGTTTTGTAAAATGTCATCCTTCTTGTTATTGACGTAATCGTTCGTATCAGTCTTCAAATTGTTTGATTTTTCGTTGGTAAACTCACCGCTTCGCGTTGAGTTGAATTCACGACGCGAGATTTTGGGGCCAAAGTCAATGTAGTTTTTCGGATTACATTTGGCACGCGCTTCATCCGCACTCACCGCAACGGTATATGTAGTTGAAGAGCTCTTGGGCACGACATCGACTAAAAAGATAAACGTGTGAAGGAGTTCTCGACGGGTTTTAGCGTCTATTAAACTCGTAAAACACTAACTGTGCGATTTTCTCATCTTGTCTTTCCACGTTTGGATACTGCATAACGTCCGTTTCTTCACATCGTTGGAGAGATGCTGGTTTCTCTGTGCGCATGAGGACTTTCTCTTCTCGGAACAGCATCTAAAGACGATCGATTAATATATAACAGCTTTTGTTTGATTTTAGATAGAACTTCTCTTCTAGATATTGTAGAAAAATGTTCTAGAGAGAGGGACAATCCGGAATTCAGTTTTCGGGACCCGAAGAACAAATCAAACATTTCTCTACGTCCCGTGAAAGCCCAAAATATCACAATATCTCTTTTCTTGTTTCCTTTCGTTTTAGAAAACTTTTCAGAGAACATTTTAAGAAATTTTAAACTTGGTTTATAAAGTATCGGCATGTGATTAAAAGTCGTCTCGCATAGATATAGACGGTATCATTTCTCCTACAGCAAAGTTAAATGACATATCGGGAAAAAATTGATGTTTAAGCGACCGATTATGATAAATATCGAAAATAATTAATAAGTTTTGAATTTTTCCGCAAGTATATAATATGCGATTAGAGTTTCCAATCCCGGGATCCCGGGATCCCGGGATCCCGGGATCCCGGCCAAATTTTTGTTCCCGAAAATACTCGGGATTCAACATCACAAATCCCGGGATTTCAAAATTTAATGCTCAGTGTCTATATAATACTTACGTTTTACAAAAATTTTACTTTAATAATTATTACTTATTACTGAGGTTTCAGAGCATTTGCTAGAGAAGTGTGTATTTATATTTTTAATTTAATTCCATGTATTATTTTTATTTGTTTTAAATATTAAGGGAGTTCTCTATTTTAAATTTCGCGAATAAACTGGCGCAACACAGACTTGAATCCGGAATCCTCGATCAGATATTTTTTAACAAAATTTATGTTTTATTATTTTTAAAGTCACTTCTTCAATGTGAAAAAGAAGAAATAATTATTTTTATTTTTATTACAAAAACTTTAATTTTTAATTGTAACGGTTTTTGTGCAATCATTAATGTAAGTTGCTTTCATTTTTATTGAAATTTTACTTTTTGTTTGTCGTTTGTAATGTTCATAAAAGTCTATGAACGTTCTATAAATAAAATAATTCTATTATTTGTAAATATTCCTTGTTTCTTTCTTTACATATATATAATCCCGGGACTAGTCCCGGGATCCCGGGATGGAATCCAAAAAATCCCGAAATCCCGGGATCCTAAATTGTATCCGGGATTGGAAACTCTATATGCGATGTATTACTAATGATAATATTTGATATCGTGCACATGTATGAACATAGAATTACCTCTGATCTACAGATCCGTGCAATTTGTTTTCACGTAAAGAAACTCTATTTCGGTTGTTGCTCAAAGAACGTGCCCTGCTCCAAAGAGTAACACACTTTTATTTAATTTCTTTCTAATTTTTGGCCAGATTTATCGAAAACGTCCGTCTCACCTGTACGAAGCAGTAGGTGTTAAGAAACGAGTATGCTCCTCTCTTTCAAGCACCATCGTACAAACTGCTGATTCCTCCGAGTCTCTTCTCTTAATCCTTCTTCTCATTTCTTTCCTGCACGCGCTTTTCCGCACGAGCGGGCGCGATCTCTCATCCTCGTCGCGATAAATTTTAAACTGACCTTTTCTCGGGATGGTAAGCTTTTGTTGTATCGACGTCGTACACATGACATCGTCTTTCCGATTTTCCGCATTACCCGCTGATAGTCCTCCCTTCTTTTCCATATCGCTCTTACTTTCAACGAACTTGGCATTTTGACTCGGATTTATGTTTTCCTTCTTCTCGGTCAAATCAGGCTTCGAGATTGTCCTTTTGTGACATTCCGTCCAGTAAATATTCTCCGACATGGCTTTACAATTGTAAATTGCATGCATAGGATGATTCACAATCAATTAATTAATATGTGCAATATTATTTAAATACTATATATGTAAAAGTGTACTATTAATTATTAACTTGGTGACGATAAGAACTATAAATCCAACGAAGATAAATTAAAATTTCGGCGATATATATGAGAAATGTACGATGTACACAAGATGTAACACAAGTCCTTTGTTCCTTTAGTCAGTCTCCGAGCAACTGTCGAGAATTACGGTAAATCTCCTGATACACTACGCAGTGCCGTGAGACTGTTTACAAACACGGCAATCGGGACAAGTATATTTGAAATGTATAATGGTATAATGTATTTATGCTATTTATATCGGGATCTATATCGCGGAATGGGCTACAATAGTGTACGAAACAATAATGTACAATTTTAAAACAAGATTAAACGACTGAAAGATCGGTAGAATTATATTAAACAAGAATGTAACGAACAAGCAGCATTCTCTGTTCACACATTCAGCTGTGCCATCGTGTTTATTAATTCCCAATCGCCTCTACTTGAAGAAACTTTTGTAGATGATGCGTTCTACGATTTGGACAACACAGCTGACGAACAAATCTTTTTTTCTCTTTCCATATCATATCGCTTCGACATTTCGACGTGGTATCACCTCATCGACCTCGAAGAGAGCTCCCGCTTGCCGCGTGTATATCACCTCGACATAACAATTCGCATAACGCGAAACGCCGGGGAGCACAGAAAAGAACCAGTCTTTCCTCGAAAGGCGACCCGCCAGCGAAGCTGGAGAGTGCCATCGCCACGGAGGAGACGAGAAATCGAATAAATAATGACGACGATGACGTGATCATGCGAAACCAACGGAGAAAGAGCGACGGCGAAGAACACCGAGAGCGCGAAGGGGAAAGAGAGAAACTCCCCTCCTTTCCTTCTTTCTTCCCCTCCTCTCACGAAGCTGAAATCCGAGGAACAAGAAGCCGTATCTATATAAGAACGCACGTAGATCGCCGCTGCGGACTATCTTGACGAGTCGCGATCAGCTTCTTCGCTTGGTTTCCACTCTGCTCTCTCGTCGATCGATCGATCTTCGACGTCTCGCGACGTTTCCGTTTCCGCGTGCCCTCGTCAGCAAGATGCAGCGCAGATTTACGGTGTTCGCCGTCCTCGCGATGACGGTCACTTCGGCCGTCATCGCCTCGGAACAAGTGTGTAAGTAACCCTTGGGGACTATCACTTGATTATTGACGACTGATCGGTAGGGATAGGTCGGGGAACTTGCAAACTGCTGCAACCGGCTACTTTTATCCTGCGCGAAACGGATAAAGCACTTTGAGAACTCTCATGCAACCTGCACCATTGTCTTCGTCGATCGTTGACTTTCGACGGCACTTGAATTATTACGCTGGGGACTTCATATTTCATCTTGTATTTTTATACTTCACATTTTATATTTTATATTTTATATTTTATACTTCACGTTTTTGTGATGTTTATATTTATTGACATAAAAATTGGTATATATAATTTTATATTTGTTATAATATATCGATTTATTTTTATATTTATTAACAGTATTAATATTTTATATTAATAATATTAATATTTTTATATTTATAGCTTATCAATAGGATTATTATCTCTTAACCTAACAGAAAAGTATTACTGGCAATGATAAGTGGCCGGTGATAAATGATTGGTGCTCAGTAATTTTATTACTCGTACGAGTAATAAATTTTATTATTATGTGTTGCAATCAATATACAATTGTACCAATTTATACCAATAAATATATTATTGTTCGGGATTCGAAAAGTTCCACGAGAGTCTTTGGGAAGATTAGAACGTCGACTGTTAATTTTCTTATCACTTTGTCTCATCATGCGGAAATTATGCGACGCTCGACGTGTTGAGCGATTCGATTTGCAAAAACGACAGCTAACAAAACAAAAGACGCGTGTTGTGTTGGATCAAAAAATTCCAATTCAACACGTGTACTGCCAAAAATCATAAATAACGATAAAACGGATTTTCGCGTTTTAAAAGGCGCTCGCATGACTCCGGAGTACCTTCTATCTTTGTATTTTCAATAAAGAAAGTCGCAGAAGACCCTTTTGCCAATTGTATCGTCAAAGTAAAATTAAGTTTGTACGGACATTGTATTTCAATCGAATTTCATTTATACTTTGTCCGTTTGACTATTTTGCGGGTTCAAATCACAATGCGTCGCGTGCTCAACTCGTGGGTGATATCGGAGTGGACGAAAAAGTTATCTGTCATCTCCTAAGCAATTATAAAAAATGGAATATAAAAATACAAAATGAAATATAAAGTAAGTACCCGGTAATACTTTTCTGCCAGAACGGTAAAATTATTTCCTAGCTTTTAACAAGACTATCGTTACATTGTCGTTGCTCAGGTGTGCTTTAGAAAAGAATGCGCGACAGCTTGACGATAGCGACAACAAAATCGTTAAAAATCAAAGAAAATAGGTCCACAGGATCTCAAGTAGCTTTTCATCGTCCCTTCAGCTGCGCAAAATTGTGATCTCTCAACGTCCGAAAGAAAACAAAATATTTCCGTTCGTTGTTCCAGTCACAATGTGCATCCCAGAGAAGTACTCAAAAGAGTGCGAAAAAATGATGGAGGACTCGGCCAGCCATGGCTACCCTATAGCGTGCATCTCCGGGCGTGACCGATACGACTGTATCGAAAGGATCGGCTGGAAGGAGGCGGACAACGTCGCCGTCGATCCTGAGGACATGTACCTCGCGACGAAGAACAAGCTGGCTGAGAAGGCCGGCTACAACATTGTCGAGCAGGTAATTCCCTGCGGTAGCTGCGGTTCGCCGCATTAAACGGACGGAAGAGTCGAAAGATGCCTATTCCCGCGTAGACATCGCTCGCGCTCGTCTCGAGAAATCGTCCGTGCGAGCGACGCACTTATGATGAACGTTGAAATTCTCCGCGTCGCAATCGCGCGCGATTACGTGCGCGTAATACGCTTCATCTCTTGATTGCTTGACCTTCTCCATCAGGTGAGGACGAAGGAGGAGCCCGAAGCGATATATCGTTACGAGGCGGTAGCGGTGGTGCACAAGGACCTGGACATCAACAACGTCCAAGGCCTGAGGGGCCTCAAGTCCTGCCACACCGGCGTAGGCCTCAACGTCGGCTACAAAATTCCCATTACGAAACTCACCGCGATGGGCGTGCTGACCGATGTCAACAACCCGGAATATTCCGCTCGCGAGAATGAGCTTCGCGCTCTAAGCACGCTCTTCGACAAAGGCTGCTTGGTCGGCACGTGGTCACCCGATCCCGCGATCAATCAGAGGCTCAGTAAGTGGCAGCAATCTGCGAAAGTTGAGTCAATTATGTCACGTGGGTGAACCCGCCGACAAACAATATTGTTAGCTGCAAAACGACGCTTGTATGCGACGCCCCGCGTCGCACGTCGCGCCACTTCCGACGTGGACTAATTTCGCGGCTTGTGTTGTACACACTTGCGGGGGGGGGGCTACGGCGCAGCCGTGCAAGTAGGAGAAAATTGCGCGCGACGGTGCTCGTAAACGGAACACTTCCCAATAGAAAAAGATTATACGTCGTTATATAAAATCTCACGTATAATTATATATGAATTGTATCCTCATGATGTCCCGCGGAACGTCATCGCGGCTTGTTATCATTCGCATCAGTCGTCCGATTGAATCTTGATGATTGATCATCAGTAGTCATCGCTCCGCATTGAATCGGATTCATAACGCGAGAATTTTCACACGAGAAGTCACACGATTTCGCGAGAAGACTTTCGCGTTGAATTATCCGCATTCGCAGCGGCAGGACGCATAATTGAAGGATTCTGACCAAAAGAAAGTCAGCCAAAAAGATACGTGCATCCCGATGAAAAAAGATTACATGTGATTTTATATAATTATATAAATAAGTTGTATATTATTAAATACGATCTATATATAAATTTTGTCTTTATACATGGTCATGTATACAATCATATGAAATTATATATACGTTTACACCGAGGCCGAAAAACTGTCAAAAGGTAGAAAAGAAGAAATTGCTTCGTTCAATTTTAAGTCTATCATCATGATCTACTATAAATGTAAGCAGTTACTTCAACTGTTTGCTACAACAGCAATTTTTCAGAGAGTGTGTAGACATATATAATTGCGCATATTTATACATGGCCATTCGGAGACAAAATTCGTATATAATTATTTTTCGTCGGGTTATGAAATTTAAGAAGAAACGAAATTAAGTGGTGAAATGAGAAGTGACTTTGTGACGATTTGGCACGACGACGCGCGCGTTTGCTACATTCTTCACTTCCCTCGTAACTTTTTTACTTAACTTCCTTACGGAATGGAGTGGGTTTCGCGTTGTCGGGAATAAAATTGCGTTGCATAAAACTTGCCGCTCGAAAGACACTTCGCGCAACTACTTATTTATTACTACCGCGATACTTCTCTTGCTTTGTTCTTCGAAAACATTAAAAATCGCTTAATTCGCAGAGGAGACATACAGCAATATGTGCGCTCTTTGCGAGAAACCGGACGTGTGCGATTATCCAGACAAATACTCCGGATATGAGGGCGCTTTGCGTTGCCTGGCTCACAACGGCGGCCAGATCGCCTGGACGAAGGTTATCTACGTGAAACGCTTCTTCGGTCTGCCTGTCGGAGTGACACCAGCAGTACCGACCTCTGAGGATCCGGCTGATTTCCGATACTTCTGTTCTGACGGCAGCAAAGTGCCCATCGACGCCGACACGAAGCCGTGCACGTGGGCCGCTCGACCGTGGCAAGGATACATGACCAACGGAGACGACGCCAACAATGTGCAAGCTATTCAGAAGGTACGTGAATTTACTTACAAAGAAATATCTGAAAGTATCCCGACCAGAACATCGTCCCATGGCCGTATTAAAATCCCTCCCCCCCATCCGGCTTCCAAATTTCAAATAGGGCCCGGATAACTTTATCGGATCCGGCACGTAATAAGGAGTGAAACGCAATGCTGCATAATGCCCTGATAAAATTGCCTGAAATCGAGAAACCTGATGAAATGTCCATCAGGACCAAATCAGGCATCCAAATAATGATGGTCATCGCTGCAGTCAGGATATAATTCGGAAAAGATTGCAAGACAGTTGCCACATTCCGACCGGATAAGGACCACTCATAATGCCTTCTTATGGCTTGCCTGGTCATGCCATATCACGCATAAATGTTGCCATATTTGATTTCTTCTCGAGTAGCTTCGGATACATTGTGGAGAAACCAAACGATAGCGACGTGTATCCTTTTGGAGGTGTGTCTTTGCCTGTTTGACAGCTGGAACAATTTTGCGAAGCTCATTTTGTATATTTGACACGAATACATTTTATACGAGTATTCAAGTATACAAAGTCAAACAATCGAGCACAATCGAGGTTGGACAATAGCTAAATCAAAAAGAGTTAAAAGATAAATTAACAAATTGGAAAGTAAAAATCTGTTAACTTGCCTTAATTGATTCTGGCGGACTTTCAACTTTCAACTTAAAGTAGTTGTTTCTAAATTCGATGTTAAGTCAATCAATTTGAATCGGATTAAAATTCGTGAAATTGCCGCAACGTTTCAGGAATTGACACAGCTGGGCCAGCTGGGTGAGAACGAGAAGGCAGATTGGTGGAAGGACCTCATGCTGCTCGACGAGAAGACCTTGGCTGTCGCCGCGCCGCCGGTGTCGCCGGAAGAGCACCTGAAGAGCGCGAAATATATGGACGTGATCGAGAGGAATTCCGGAGCGCCCGAGAGGGATGCCCGTTGGTGCGTCTCGGATGCGAACGCGCTGAACAAGTGTTGGAATCTCGCTAGGGCCGCGTTTTTCAGGTGATCGCCTGTGAAATCGTATCTTGCGAACTTGCCTCACAAGAACATACGAATCAATCGCTTCGACCGACGCTTCTCCCACAATGATAGATGATGTTAAATGATGTTACAGAGACGCCCGACCTAGGTTCGACTGCATCCTGGAGAAGGATCAGGCTGCTTGCTTGAAGGCCGTGAGGGATAACGGAGCAGACATAACCGTGATCGATAGCAGCTCGGTGAAGCAGGCGATCAGCGAGTACAACAACGTGAAACCGATCGTCGCTTTTGTTACATCGACGTCGTACACGTGACATCGTCACGAGTATGCTCCTCTCTTCCAAACGCCTTCGTACAAACTGCTGATTCCTCTGAGCCTCTTCTCTTAATCCCTCTTCTCATTTCTTTCCTACACGCGCTTTTCCGCACGAGCGGGCGCGATCTCTCATCCTCGTCGCGATAAATTTTAAATTGATCTTTTCTTGGGATGGTAAGCTTCTGTTGTATCGACGTCGTACACATGACATCGTCTTTCCGATTTTCCGCATTACCCGCTGATAGTCCTCTTTTCTTTTTCATATCGCTCTTACTTTCAACGAACTTGGCATTTTGACTCAGATTTATGTTTTCCTTCTTCTCGGTCAAATCAGGCTTCGAGATTGTCCTTTTGTGACATTTCGTCCAGTAAATATTCTTCGACATGGCTCTACAATTGTAAATTGCACGCATAGGATGATTCACAATCAATTAATTAATATGTGCAACGTTATTTAAATACTATATATGTAAAAGTGTACTATTAATTATTAACTTGGTGACGATAAGAACTATAAATTCAACGAAAATAAATTAAAGTTTCGGCGATATATATGAGAAATGTACAAGATGTAATACAAGTCCTTTGTTCCTTTAGTCAGTCTCCGAGCAATTGCCGAGAATTACGGTAAATCTCCTGATACACTACGCAGTGCCGTGAGACTGTTTACAAACACGGCAATCGAGATAAGTATAAATTTGAAATGTGGTATAATGTATTTGTGCTATTTATATCGGGATCTATATCGTGGAATGGGCTGCAATAGTGTACGAAACAATAATGTACAATTTTAAAACAAGATTAAACGACTGAAAGATCGGTAGAATTATATTAAACAAGAATGTAACGAACAAGCAGCATTCTCTGTTCACACATTCAGCTGTGCCATCGTGTTTATTAATTCCCAATCGCCTCTACTTGAAGAAACTCTTATAGATAATGCGTTCTACGATTTGGACAACGCAGCTGACGAACAAAGCGGCGATCATAAGAAATAGCAGCGGTACTATATCGCCGATCTCGATGGACTTCCACGATGATTTTCTCTGCGATCAAGCACGATTGTACATTCGGGCATCACTCGAGCCATTTTTATTTTGGTTACAAATTAACCCATTAATGTATCCATGGAATCCTTGGATGTATCCTTGGAAAAATCCCTTTCAAGGCACAAAAGAGGTTTATTACCGTTATCTGGCACGGACTTGATATCGAAAATGCTCCTGAAAACCTTAGGAGCCGGCTTTAAACCTATGTTAAATTTATGCAAGTTTATGTACGACGCACTAAATGGAAATGGTGTTTGTTCCAAGACAGAGGATTTCTCCATGAAGAACCTCAATATCAATCATGAATCCAACAAAAACAATAGAAACAATCAAGGATGCGTTCTGCACTTGCTTAAACACGATAGGTGAAGCAAATCGTGTGGCACTTCGCAAAGTGATGAAGACGGCCATAGACTTTGGAATGAACGTAATAATGCCGAATGTAGTAATACCATTCCTGACTATGATGAAAAAAAGCGGCTTTTTACCTAAGAACATTTGTATCATGACAGACACGTTTATCGCAGCTTACAACCTTATGAATATGGCGAAGCGAATTCTATAATGTGTAAAGGATGATTTCTTGTTTTTCAAAGTAAAAATAAAAGGCTAACATGCAAAGTATGAATGTATCATTAATGAAACGCGATATCCTTCGCTCCTGCTCCTTACCTCAACAACAATTTTGCATTTCCAAATAGATCCAGAAGTAAATTAAATCGCAACAGGATCTTTTAAGTGGATTTTGTAAGGCTAAGTTAAGCAACAATCGGACTGGCACCATTAGCTTAAATTAATACAGATGATATATATGCATTGTCCGAATGGTGTAAATTATTCAAGTAACATTCGTACAATTTGTTTCGTGTCGAAATATAGAATTACCATCGGATTGATCGTACGAAAGCTGCATGCCAGATATTTTACCTTCTTCCAGTAAGATATATTGAAAATGGATTTAAAATATTTCACATTCAATCATCATACATGTCTGGGATAAAAGTAAATAAGAGTTTGATCAATTGTCGAAATATTAATATTATGCTTATTATGTATATAATATTATGCTTATTTTCATACATTTCCAAAAACACATGATATAAACTTGTCAAAAAATATTTCACAGAAATATATACGTACGAAAGACCGTTCTCTCTCTCTCTCCCTCTCTCCCTCCCCCCCCTCTCTCTCTCTCTCTCTCTCTCTCTCTCTCTCCACTACTGTTTAAAAAATGAGATTTCTATTACAGAAATTTATCAATATATATGTACATAAGCGATATTATGTTACGCTCGCATTACAAATGCTACATGAAACAAGTATTTCGCCGGAATCTGTTACAAATATGACAACAAAGAGCCTATTATATTATTCTCTAAGATATTAATCAGAGAAATATATTTGAACAAACTTTAAATCAAATTTTTACAACCTCCTATCTCGCAGTTTCGATTATTTTCATATAAATTCAAATAAACGCTATATTTAACCGTTTGAGTCCCAGAGGGTATTGAAAAAACACTGTCGAAGAATCCCAAACAGCGCAACCGCGCTTTCTATAAATGAGTATGAAAAGACCCAAGCAGCGCGATAGCGCTTTGTTTATTTTACATCGATGAATCCCAATCGGACCAATACCGCTTCTTGTATTTGTTAGGTAACGCGATTCTCGTCTTTTTCTCATCGCTCTGTCACATTTATTGTAGTTTGCAAAGCGATCGGACGTATTCTTGCGTAAGTGTTTCTCATTGTTAATAATTGTGTGTTTCAAAATGATTAGACGAAGCAACGGAGCAACGAAGCAAAAGGAATCCATCCAACATGTTTTGATAAACACCGATGTCACAAATTATAATTGTTACTCTCCATTTAAATTATTTGTTCATAACACAAAAATATTGTTAATTTGTAATTCGTTATTTTATAAAATACATCTGTATTATTACATATGCGTACTGTAAATTTATAAATATTTCAAGTTTTGTTCGATAAAAATTATTGAGAAGATAACAATGAAATAAAAATTTTTATTTTGTAATGTATTATTGCATTATTATAGTATTATTCTACCTATTATAAAATGTACTATTTACATTAAAAGGATCGGTGTGATATACTTGCTTCAGTAAATCTGAGCGCGCGACTTCGACAATCGGTAACGCACCGTCAGTTGTCCACAATGATCGAAATGTACTGGGTTTTCTCGACATAAAATCTGAACAGCGCGATCGCGCTGCTTGGGACTCAAACGGTTAATACTGATCTAAACTGTCCTTAGGATATAATTAACTTTACTAAACTTTACTAAAAAACTGGTTTCCAATATGAAAACATATTTGATCCAAGTACTTATATTTATTAATATTCATCATCTGTATATTCGTCGAGAATTTTCGAAACTTCCGCATCGTATTCTTCAATTTCATTTTCATACAAATGTAAATCTCCTTCTATAAATCTCGCGAACTTAAAAAAATTTAATAATCATATCATATAATAAAAAAGTTCAATAATCATACCTATCACTAAATATGTAGTTTCAACTTTGTTCATATTCTTACCTAAAATAATTTCAATATTATATATAACAAGCTGTACTTTTTAATCTACCTTATAGGATCTTTTAGCCTTAAAACCATCTTCCAAGGATTGCAATCTGGACTGGAACAGTAGTCCTGTAATTCTTTTAAAGCTTTCCTAGTTTCTCGTATCCCTTCCTGACTATACTGATCTTCATTTAACAATTTCCGCTTTTCAGGAAACACGTTTTGCCTCATTTAAGAAGACAAAAAGAACAGGCAATATATTATCTTGTTTTATTCAAGATTACAGAAATACAAAAAGTAATCACATGTAAATAATTATATCAGTATTTAATACATAATTTATTGTTAGAGATATTTAAAGTATTACAGAAAGATTAACAAAAATTCATATAATAGATTTATTAAATTGTTGATAAACTCAATAATACATTTAATTTACTTATAAAGTTTAAATTATTACTTTTAAACAAAAGTTAGTTAGTTGTGCATGCGATAGTAGGTAATTTGTTCTTATAAATTTTTTTCTTGAATAAACGATAAAAAAAATAATGTTAAAAATGTATTGCCAATTAAAAATACAAATGTTATATATAACAAGATGCGACATATATTATATAAAAAGCATCCTCCAAAAATGACTCAAACAGAAATAAAATTTTGTACTACTGCTGATTATGGATACTAAAATATTTTCTACAAAATGTATGAAATTGATTAGGAATTTATCAAAAATACATGTTAGGTTAGAACTTAATAAAACGTTCAAAATAGTTAAGACCACATGATATATATATATATATACATACATATACAGGGTGTCTCAGAACTTTGGGACACGGGCTCCGTAGGGACATGGAGCTAAGTGAGAAGAACAAAAAAGTCCTCTACCATAATGTGAAAATCGTAATAGTCTTTTAGTAATAACCGTGTAAAGTTTGGTGTTTCCCACGCCCAGCGCGGCCTATAGACGCTCCGCGGCAAGCTGTGTGCGTAAGGGCTGAGCAATAACGCGTCTCGCACTGACCGTCGCACGGCGTCAAAGCGCCAAGACGCCATCGCGACAGTCAGCACGAGACGCGTTATTGCTCAGCCCCTACGCACACAGCTTGCCGCGGAGCGTCTATAGGTCGCGATGGGCGTGGAAAACACCAAACTTTACACGGTTATTACTAAAAAACTATTACGATTTTCACATTATGGTAGAGGACTTTTTTGTTCTTCTCACTTAGCTCCATGTCCCTACGGAGCCCGTGTCCCAAAGTTCTGAGACACCCTGTATAATATACAGGGTGTCCGGAATGTGATCATTAATATTTTGTGTACTGGTAGATTGGGTGCAGCCAAGAAGAAAAGTCATGTACCGTAATGTCAAATTGGCAATAGTTATCGAGTTATTAATTGAAACATATGAGCCAATGAGCGCGTAGAGAGCGCTGGGCGGCCGCCTCTTGTCGCTTGCGCTCGCTCGCTCGTCGTTCGCGCTCGCTCGCTCCTCGTCGCGCACGCATGCCTCTTGTCGCTTACGGTTGCCTTTCGCCGTGCGAGGTAAGCCATCTTTTTATACACGGAGCCCGTCCTGTCGCTTTCTCGTGCGTTCATTCGTTTACACATTTTAATTAATTACGAAATAAATATTGAAAAAATTGTAAAATGGCACAGGACTTTTTTAATTATTTTAACGAGTTCTACCAGTACACAAAATATTAATGATCACATTCCAGACACCCTGTATACTATTATATGGAGTGGCTGTGATTGGTTCGCGCGTTCCGTTCCACTGAAAATTTTCGCCCATGGGACATCGTTGCCTAAAGGCAACGTAATGTGCATCGTGTAGCCATTAAGTGAGTTCAAATATTACAACTAAAAAGAATAAAAAAAAATCTATATTATTAGTAGAAACTGATAAAATCGTGTTGGCGATTTTCAGAATTTATAGATCGATTCTTGAATCGCTTCAATTCCAGAAAATCGATTTGAAATCGATCTTTTAGGCTCCGATTTAATCGATCTTCAATTAAATCGATTTAAAATCGGCATCTCGGCATTTCAAACGCGCGTTGTTGCTATCGCGTTGCGCATCGTCGCTACATCACGCTGCGCGTCGCCGCTACAGGTTCATCCAGCTAGCGGTTCGAAACGAAGCACGATTGCTTCGATTTGAAGACGCGTAAACCCTATAGAAATGGCGTTATAATCAACATTATCGATTCGACGCACATGAGAGTTCCTCGCAGGTGGGGATGAATTTTATCGTTACGCTCGGTTATAAAGGTACTATAGTGATATGATATATCAGTCCTCTGTTGACGGTTGTCCATTCACCTTGGAAATTGAAGTTGACTTTCATACGCGCCAACGATCGATCAGAACAATGCAGGTGGAAATTATAATAGGTGCGAAAACTCCGCGCATCGGCGATTGTTCGAGGCTTAATAACGCGACAATCGGTCCGCTTTCCATGTTTTTGTGCTTTTATGCTTTCGTTTTCAATCATCAATTGGTCTCGCACGCTCTACAGAATGATTATTATTTATAATTCCTCCTTTTTTCAATTATCGAATTCGTTCGTATAAGCAACTAAAAGCTTGATGAAATTACCGACTTGGCTCGGAAAATTTGTACTTTCGTCGACTGACTGTTGAGTTCAGCTGTCTCTACATTTGTGCGTGTCCAAAAGTGAGAACGGTAATACATCGTGCGAGATAATTTTGAAAAAAGTATAAATTTCTGATTATAATTATTGATACGCATGTATGCATGTAATTTAAAGCATACGCAATTAGAAAAGTAATTACAAGCATGTCGCGCGCGTAATAATATCGCGCGTAAGAATATCATTTGGTATCTACAATTTATTAGTCGATTAACGTGTCATTTTGCTTTCTACCTAAGAAAAGATTTTTAATCAAGAATTTCTAATCAATTATACGCTTCAGTTATAAAAAGTTTCGAAAGATTACAAAGCCTCGGTATCATTACGGGAATAATTCGCATCCTTCGTGGATTGATTGCATTGATTCAGATCGATGCTAATCGATCTCGGCTGATATCACGGAATCGCATGAGCTTCTTTTTTCAATTAATTACTTGAGATAATCTAAGTGAGAATTATCATTTGCGACCATCTACGCAAAAACGTCATTTACTTCCGAAATGACGAAGGAAAAATTTGACCGGCTAAGAATCGAGGGAAATATCTTAAAATGGGCATGGGCGTAAGTGGCCTTGAGTGAAGAAGCGTCGCAATCGTCGGGAGCGTGCCGATCTTGATTCGGAATAAACCTTGATTTCAATAAAGCTGCAATCATCTAATAGAGACGCATATTAAAGGCCGCGCAGTGTTCTAACGAGCTACTAAGCCACCTTCAACGGATTTACGTAATAAACGTAAAGTTACCGTTCTCTCTCGTGGAGTCTAGCGACACGCGAAAGCTTTCGAAAATTATATCGACTGCTCGAAATTATTCGATGCCAATCTGCGATCAGAGACGATTGTGGTGTCACGATCGTTAGAGAATTATCGGCTGCGGAATTACGTTCCGCGCAAACAATGTTGCAGCTGAAGATGAAGTGCGACCTTTTCCCCCATTGTTTCGGGAGAAAAGAAATTTTATCGCATTTTTATTTTTCCATCCTGTGTTTTGAATATTTACAAGTCGAGAGGTTGAACCAGCTTAAATCTCCTGTACTGTTCTTTGAACCTTTCCCAGCGATGGCGTTCCTCAGCATATTCACATTTTGCGAAGAGGGATACGTTTTCCCTGATGACACGAAGGCGACCATGAAGGAAACAAAGAAGCCTAAGGAAATTAAAAAAGCAGCGATCGCGTCGAAGAACGTAAAGGGTGCCGTCAAGGCTGCCAAGAAGGCGAAGAAGAATAAGAAGGACTGCGCTAGGAAATGCGGGGACGATCTTGCTTGCGTTCACGATCCCGCGGATGCTAATTTCAAGCTAAAGACCTTCGGCACGCAGCGCACTCTGGACGTTCCCAACTGCAAGATAGAAACAAGCAAGTAAAGCGGAGATAGAATCGGAGATAGACAGATATAGAATTACCGTGATAATTCAGACCTGCGTCTAACGGAAGCCTTGATAAACACAACTACGTTGACTGCGTTACTGATCGCTAATCATATTCTCACATCGCAGAACTGACCGTGAAGAACAAAGGAGAGTGTCCCGGATCCGGCGGAATGTTCTGAACGAGTGTCGGTCGGCCAATCCATCGCGAAGCGAAACGTAGAATAGCAAATGTCTAGGCAGCAAATCGTGTTTTGTCTGGACATTTGCTATTCTACGCCGGATTTTAAACCATTGTCGCGAATTTCCGTTTAGTCCATAGCAGTTCCCTCGACGCGCTATTGCATTTTTCTCTAATGGAACTCCATAAATTTTCGATTGGGTTAAGGTCCGGACTTTGTGGAGGCCATTCAAAAATTTCTATTTTATAATTCTGGAAAAATTGTTTCGTTTTTTTACTGTGCGCTTCGGATCATTGTCTTGCTGAAACATTCATTTCTTATCGAGATCCATTTTTAGAATTGATTCTTCTAAGTTTTCATTTAAAATGTCAGTATATTTATCAGCAACATCATTATTGCACCTCTTCCATACTTGACTGTTGGTACAACATATTGCTTCTTTAGAGCTTCATTCGGTTTCCTCCATATGCTGTGCTTTCTTTTCTTATTCAATAATTCAAATTTACTTTCATCGCTCCATATTATTCGTTTTCAGAATGATAATGGCTTATTTACATATTTTTTTTGCAAAAGCTAAACGTTTCTTTTTATGCACTTTATTAATTATGGTTTACGTCTACTTACGCAACTCTTTAAACCCACCTCTTTTAATCTTCGTCTCACAGTTCTTGAAGATATGTTTAATTGTAGTTGTTCAACAATGTTTCATGACGTTGTCGATGAGTTACGTTAAGCTTCTCTCATAATTCTTCCGTCCATGACTGTAAATATATACGAGAACATCAAGTAACACAACGTCGCACGACGAGAGCTCCGACGATAACTGATTGCACGTCAAACTTGCATTGAGACTCTCTTACATTGAGTATCGTATACGCTGTATACCATATTCAATGTAAGAAGCGACAAGAATGTATCTCTCTAATAAATATTAACAATGAGCAACCATTTTGATCCTGTTTGTCATCACTACCTATCTCGCCACGACACAACTGATGTTTGAATGTTTTATGTCAGTCTTGATGCTAAATATTGTACTAACATGCGACCGTCTCACGGATACCGGGTTCGCGAAATGAATTTGGGCAACACTTTTTAAGAAAAGAAAGAACTTTTCTTCACTTTAAATATGTACAGACTCTTATTTATTAACGAATTTTCTCCTCTAATAATAATGAAGAATAGCGTTTTATGTCACGTCAACTCGCGACGAAAGCTTGTGATTCTCTTAGCTGTTGTTGTTGTTTTACTTGTCGATTTTCCGTCGTCCAGACAATCATCCTTCGGTTGTCAAAATTGATACCAGAACCGCCTAAGGTTCGCGGACAATGGACACTGCCACGAACCTTGGTCGCAGGCCGGTCAGTATTCATTTTCATTTCGAGACGCTTTCGACTCGCTTAGAGGCGGACGTGTCATCTTCTAATCGGGAGTAAAGAAACGCCGAAGAGTCTGCCCGCGTGTCCTGATCCTGTTGTCTTCAAATCCGTCCGGGTTTATCCTTAATTTTCCACGTAGTTTTTCAAGTATACGCGTCATCACTTGATTTCGGCAAAATGCGATCGCTCGCAGCGTCACTCCGTTTCGACGAGCGTTCTTGTCGGTGACAATCGAAAGCTACCTGATTAATTCGTTGGCGATTATCGATTCATCCAGTTAGCGGTTCGAAACGAAACACGACTGCTTCAATGAGACGCGTGGACCCCATAGAAATTGCGCGCTATATTTAGCATAATTAACCCAACGCACACGAGACGGACATAATGCGTTGTACAAGTTCCCTGCAGGTGGGGATGCATTTTATCGCTACGCTCGGTTATAAACGTAGCATGGTGATACAATATGTCAGTCCTCTGTTGACGGCTCTCCATTCACCGTGCCTGGAAATTGAAGCTGACTTTCATACGCGCCAACGATCAGTCGGAACAATGGAGGTGGCAATTATAGTAGGTACGAAAACTCTGCATCGGCGATTGTTCGAGATTTAATAACGCGACAATCGGTTCGTTTTCTATTTCTTCGTATTTTTATGCGCTTTCGTTTTATCAACCGGTCTTACACGCTCTACAGGACGATTACTATTTATAATCCCTCTTTTTTTTTCAATTCAATCGGATTCGTTTATATAAGCAGCTAAAAGCTTGACGAAATTACCGATTGGCTCGGAAAATTTGTACTTTTCGTTGACTGATTGTTGAGTTCAGCCGCCTCTATATTTGTGCGCGTCCAAAAATGAGAACGGTAAAAAAACATCGTGCGAGATAATTTTGAAAACAGTATAAATTTCTGATTATAATTATTGATACGCATGTGTACGTGTAGTTTAAAGCATACACAATTAGAAAAATAATTACAAGCACGTCGCACGCGTAATAGAATATCGTTTAGTATCTGCAATTTATTAGCCGATTAACGTGTCATTTTGCTTTCGCACGATTCTCCTTAGAGTTTGCCTAAGAAAAGATTCTTAACCAAGAATTTCTAATCAGTTGTACGCTTGAGTCATAAAAATTTCGAAAAATTACAAAGGGCCTCGGTGTCATTACGGGAATAATTCGCATTCTTCGTAAATCGATTGCGTCGATTTAGAGTTTGCCTCGATCTCGGCTGATATCACGTCACAGAATCGCACGAGCTTTTTTTCAAAGTTAATTATTTGCGATAATTTAGCGATAAGCGAGAATCATCGTTTATGATCGTTTACGATTATCTACGCAAAAACGTCATTTACTTCCAAAATGGCGAAGGAAAAATCAGACCGGTTAAAAATCGAGGGAAGTATCTTGAAATGGGCGTGGGCGTAAGTGGCCTTGAGTGAAGAAGCGTCGCAATCGTCGGGAGCGTGCCGATCTCGATTCGGAATAAACTTTGATTTCAACAAAGCTGCAATCATCCAATAGAGACGCGTATTAAGGCCGCCAACGGCTTCCTAACGAGATACTAAGTCACCTTCAATGGATTTACGTAATACCGTTCTCTCTCTCTCGTAGAACCCAGCGACACGCGTAAGCTTACGAAAATTACTTCGACTGCTCGAAATTACTCGATACCAATCTGCGATCAGAGACGATTGTGATGTTACGATCGTTAGGGAATTATCGGCAGCTCTAGTGTTCCGCGCAAACAATGTTGCAGCTGAAGATGGAGCGCGATCTTCTCCCCCGTTGTTTCGGGAGAAGAGAAATTTTATCGCACTTTTATTTTTCCACTTTGTGTCTTGAATATTACAAGTCGAGAGATTGAACCATCTCTAATCTCCTATACTGTTCTTTGAACCTTCCCCAGCGATGGCGTTCCTCAGCATGTTCACATTTTGCGAAGAAGGTTACGCTCTCCCTGACGACGCGAAGGCGACCACCATGAAGGAAATAAAGGAGCCCAAGGAGATCAAAGAAGCAGCGACCGCGTCGAAGGACGTAAAGGATGCCATCAAGGCTGCCAAGGAGGCGAAGAAGAGTAAGAAGGACTGCGCTAAGGAATGCGACGACTTTTACGATCCTGTCTGCGTTCACGATCCTGCGGACGCCAATTTCAAGCCGAGGACCTTCGGCACGCAGTGCGCTCTGGACGTTCACAACTGCGAGATGGGAACAAGTGAGTAAAGCGGGAATAGAATCGGAGATAGACAGATAGAATTGCCGTGATAATTCAGACCTGCGTCTAACGATAAGCACTTTACATTGACTTTACATTGATGTTACTGATCGCTAATCATACTCTCGCATTGCAGAACTGATCGTGAAGAGCAAAGGAGAGTGCCCCGGATCCGGCGGAGTGAGATTGTCCTGAAGGATCGTCAGTCGTCGATTCGGCAGATCCATCGCGAAACGAAGCGTAGAATAGCAAACGTCCAGGCAAAACCGTGTTTTAGGCCGTTGTCGCGAATTTCCGTTTAGTCCGTAGCAGCTCTCTCGAATCGCGCTGCGAATCTTCCTCCGCATACACATATAAATATGTACGAGAACGTCAAGTAACACAACGCCGCGCGACGAGAGACCCGCTCCGACGATAACCGATTGCACGCCAAACTATACGCTGTATACGATACTCAATGCAAGAAGAGGCAAGAATGTATCTGTCTAATTAAATATTAACAATGAGCAACCATTGATCCTGTTTGGCATGATCACTACCTACCTCGCCGCGACTGGTGTTCGCCTCGGATGATTTATGTCAGTCTTGATGATGCTAAATATGTATGTATCGGTGCAAATTCGATCTGGCTTTCTGATCGTGGATGCGATTTCTCTCGCGACAGAAAAACCGAAAGGTCTTGACAGAATGGACTTTTGGAATACAATTGATGCGATTCTCAAAGCAGGCCGGTCGGTACTTTTCACTTCGAGACGCTTTCGACTCGCGCTCTTGTTTTTTCCGCACAATTTTCGTTTTGTATTACATATCTCGTGGAAAGGATATTTCGGGAAAATTTCGGCCGTCCGAATACACGCTTTCAAGTTGCAAATAATAATGCAAAAGTTTTGTTGAGGTTTGCACGACGATGAATTAAATTCCTGCTTATCGATTATACAAATCGATGCAAAGACAATTCAGTTCCACGCATACGTCACTATCGTTGGATCGATAATTACTTTAAAATTCTGACTAACCGCATCGTTTTTAGCTACGTTATTTATGGCTGCGAATTAATGCAGAAAGCGGGAACGTCCAAAGGAAAAAATGAGGTTTCGTCAGCTTGACATAATAGAGATAAAACTCTTCCATCATCAACATAATGGAAATTCCGAATTTCCGTTATCGACAAATAGAAATTCAATTTCCATCATGTATATGTAATGTAAGTTACAAACGTTCATTAATAAACGTTCATTATGTATACACAATAAAAAAATTTGTTAAATTATTAGCTGTCTCAATTACTCCTACTACTCATCCTCATCAAAATACTACTCATCAAAATAAAGTCTCGTTAATTCTCTTTACTGACGCATGCGCGATACGCATGTGTCAAGCTGTCAAAATGTCAGCTTTCTTTCCACACTAGGAAAAATGTATTGTTGCGTGAACCAAAATTTTGTTGTAACAACAAAATAATTTGGTTAAAATATGCCCAACAAAACTGTTTAGTTCGTGTAAACAAATATCTTGTTTGATTACGGTTTGTTCGTATAACGTAATACTTTTGTTATAGCAATCAAGAAGCTTTAATTGTATGAATTTTGTTAAAAATACTATAAGTTTTTCTTAATATACAAAATCTAAATTTTAGTGTACAGAAAGACAAAATAGTATCCATTGGGCATTATTTTAGTTTATGTAAAATAATATTTCGTTATTATGTAATTTTTATGGATAAAATAACTAAAATGCTTAATTTTTATATATGAAATTATATAAAATATTATATATGAAATCTAAGAACAAAATCATTTGGTCCAGAGAACAAAGCAGAAAAATATATTTAGTTGAGACAACTGAATATTTTATTATATAAAACAAGATATTTGGTTGCTATTAAAAAATGCCTCAACTAAACAGTTTTGTTAGAGATCTTAAATTTTTTTTCCTGGCAATATGTTTTTTCATTGTTTACTTATCGCACAGCTGAGTGTGCGCGCTCACCGATAAGCGTCTTGTTTTGCATAATGCAATTCTACCGCTTCTTTGCAACCTGCAATATCACACTTAACCGAATGATGTCGACACTCTCCGGACGAATAATGGTTACCGATTGATAAACAAATGCAAGAGTTTCCAACTCGTCTCCTAGATGGCCCTGAATCTCGAGGAAGGCTGGCGAATTTGAATCGCAACCGAGGAACCGATCAAATTCTACCGTGTACGCGATGTATTCCCAAAGTGCGTCTCGCTTCTTCCGGAAAATTTCACCGGGTCACGCAGGGTAAAAGGGGACAACAAAGAAGCTGTAATATTTTCATTCGCTGATAGCTTACGTTACAGCCTTACAGCTTTACTCTTACAGCTACTGTAGACGAGCCTTAAGAGTAAAGGCTCGTCTACATTAGCTGTAAGAGTAAGGCTGTAAGGTTGCAAGACACGAAATGAAATATTTTCATTCGCTGACAGCTTACGTTACAGCCTTACAGCTTTACTCTTACAGCTACTGTAGACGAGCCTTAAGAATAAAGGTCATTCTACAATACGTGTCGTAAGTTGTAAGCCGTAAGAATTGGCGAATCACAGTCGATTATTACAAAAATAATCGGCTATAATTGGTCAGTTCTTACGGCTTACAACTTACGACTCGTATTGTAGAATGACCTTAGGGCTGTAAGGCTCTAACGTAAGCTGTCAGCGAATGAAAATATTTCATTTCGTGTCTTGCAACCTTATAGCTTTACTCTTACAGCTAATGTAGACGAGCCTCTAGGAGTAACCGGTCAGATGCACCGTCGTGAAGTTAGCAGACAAATTGAAGATTTTCTAATTTTTTTTTTGTATCATTTGGGAATCATTTAGGGAAGTTTAGAAACATAGTCTCATAGTTTGGGAAATAATAGTTTACTAGTAGTAATTAATAAAAATTAATTAAGCGTTAAGTTAGTAGACAATGAAAGAAACATTTTTTTAAATTTTTAATTAACATAAAATTATTTGGGAAACACATCTGTAATGTTTTTAACGTTTGGGAAATAATAAGTTTTTATAATAATTGAAAACAAAGGCCGCGTTCAGTAGAACAAAGTGATCAGAGAGCGCTTAGTGATTATTGTCTGTGATTGGAGCATTCTTTTAGGCTGCGTTCCGTTTCACGCATCGAGCGCATCGATCGCAACCAATGCATTGCGCGCATTGATATCGTTCCGTTTTCGTTAATGCGCCTATGCGCTTTTGGAAACGGAACGACTTTTGATGCGTTTGATGTGAAAGGAAAAATGGATGCTACCATGGTCACAATGGACATCGAAACATTGACAACAATAGCCTTATTTTCATTAGTGAATGATGACAACAGAATTAGCAGCAGTAGTAGCAGTAGTAGTAGTGAGTCTATATTTTATCAAGAAATCTTGATCTGTAGAAAAATATTCACACACATGCATTAATTTAAAAATACAATTGAATTGTTTCTAAAACTTAAAAATTTCAATTTTACCTTTCGATGCTCTTAACGCGATCTCTTTTTCGAGAAACATAGTGATCATTTCGTTATCCACTAATACGGGGAATTCAACTTTGTCGACTTTGTCCATTGTACGTATCTGTGATTGTCTGTATGTTTAAAATAAAAAAATATCGGTACGTTAAATATATCAGTCGTCACGTCACGTTGTCAGTATTTAAATAGGGTTATATAAAAAATTATAAATACTAATCTGCGCATGCCCGCATCAACTGCTTCTAGTCCGAGCTGTAGTAGCTGATGCGCGCTTAATGCGATAGAGGTGGGGGAATTCTAGGGAATTCTATACGCCACCAATGCACGCATTAGCTGAAACGGAACGGTTCTCGATGCAGTTAATGCGCTCGATGCGTGAAACGGAACGGACCCCCAGATTCTTCATAGACCCAGAAGTATTTACCAATCAGGAGCGAGACTCAATGGAAAATCTAGTAATGTTGTCCAACTGTTGAGTCTGCTGAATGCAGCCTATGACTACGTTTACACGGCAAGGTTAAGATCATTCTATAATACGTGTCGTAAGTTGTAAGTCGTAAGGACTAACCAATTATAGCCGATTATTTTTGTAATAATCAACTGTGATTCGCTAATTCTTACGGCTTACAACTTACGACATATATTGTAGAATGACCTTTAATCCGGATTAGTAACAACCGTAGTTAGTGAATTCTTTGATTCGATTGGTATATTCTTTTAGATCTAAAAATATACTCTAATCGGATTCGAGACTGCACTAACTACAGTAGTTACTAAGCCGAAGTTAGAAGCTGTGTAAACGTAGTCCGTAAAACACCGTGTGTCGTTGGAATTACTTGCATATCTGTTTTTCTTTTATGAATTAATTAAAGTCGATTGTCCAGTGCTGAATTGTGAAAGAAAACAAAAGCACGAAAATGAGTAATTCAACTATTTCGGATCAATCACTAATGGATAAATCGATGCGAAGTGTCTTCGGTGAGTATATCTCATTTCACACAATTGACATTAATAACCATGTATAATATGCATTACAGTCGGGAATATCCCGTACGAGGCTACAGAGGAGAATCTGAAGGATATCTTTAGTGAAGTTGGACCAGTTCTTTCCTTCAAGTAAGTTAATTATCTTTTATTTCATTGGAAATATATATGTTATTTGCGGTTTTAAATTCTTCATACAACTATGAAAATAACATTTAGCTTTTATCTACATGTGCATTCTTTCAATTTTTGTACTAGATTGGTCTTTGATCGTGAGACTGGCAAACCTAAGGGATATGGCTTCTGTGAATACAAAGATCAAGAAACAGCTTTAAGCGCTATGAGAAATTTAAATGGATATGAGATTGGTGGAAGAACATTGCGCGTAGACAATGCATGTACAGAAAAAAGTCGAATGGAGATGCAAAGTTTATTGCAAGGACAGAATACTGAGAATCCTTATGGGGAAGCAGTTCAGTCAGATAAGGCACCAGAAGCAATTAGCAAAGCTGTAGCATCTCTACCACCAGAGCAGATGTTTGAATTGATGAAACAAATGAAACTTTGTGTACAAAATAATCCTAATGAAGCACGTCAAATGCTACTCCAAAATCCTCAATTGGCATATGCTTTGCTTCAAGCACAGGTAGTAATGAGAATAGTCGATCCTCATACAGCAGTCAACATGTTGCATAAAGCCAATCCTATTCCGGGTATATTAGCACCCACGGACAAATCTGTAGTGCATCCCATTCAACCACGGATTGAAGAACCATGGGCACCTCGACCTACACCAGCTGTCAATGCTCCAGCACCTATTTTTGCAGGTAATAAAGGAAACATACTTCAATAATGGTATCTAAAGTCCTAAGAGTTGTATGTTGAAATATCAATATTTTATATCGGAATTGGTTTTATATTGGACTTTCAATTTTGAACTAAGCCTTTAATAACTTATTGTTTGTCTTACCTTAATAAAACATTCACAACTGCTCTGCAAAAAAGAAAAAGAATAGCAGATTTCATTTGAAACTCTGTCAAAATAGGTCAAGATGTGGATCTTCGAACACTGGACAGACAAATAGATCCACGATTGGCTAGAATGGATCAAGATTTGAGAGCACCTCCTCAAACTCAACCTACTCCAGTCAGCGCACCACCAGTAATATCTGTTGCCGCTGATCCAAGGGCTTCAAATACATTTAATCTTACAGACAAGTGAGTGTGTTACCTCGTGGTGATTTGTGTCAACAAGTTCATTATAAATTGTGTTACTGAAGATGCTCTTTTTTGCAGCAGCATTCCTGTGGAGGGAATTGAGAGGTGTTTAACACATATATTTAGAATAATTCTGATTGTTATTCACTGTCATACTAAGTCATTGTTCATTTCAGTTTCTGTCGTGATCCAAGAGCTGATAGATTTGGTAGAGATCCGAGAGATCCTAGAGACCCAAGGATGCCTATTGATCCCAGAATTACTAAAGCTAATCGTATGTTTAGTCAAGTTTCCTTTTTATCGCATGTACAAATTAATCAGCTTTAATATATGTTTAATGAATCTATAGAATCCATTTTTTAATGAGACAATATTGCAATGAATTGTTACATTTTTAAATCTTATGATAAAATCTTCAATTAGCGGTTCCTGTGGCACCACCGATTGTGCCAAGACCGGTTGCTGCACCAACAATACCAACGCCAAGTACTGTAACGGGTAATGCGGCTAGTTCTGCTGCCGTACTCTCGCAGTCCGCGAGTTCTGCCACATCGAGACTCATGGCTGGAATGTCTTCAGCGGGAAATATTCCCAGCGGTGCATCAGATCAAGAAAAGGTATGTCACACACATACGTACTGTAAGTGTATTTAAAATATATACAAAGAGAAAAAGAGAATTATCCAAAAGATATATTTTTATTTGAGACACAAATCAAAGTTTTCACTTATGTTTTTAAATATAAGTAAATAAGATTAAATGGCTATAATTATCTTATGGAAACTAAAACAAAATACAGAAAGATATATGTCAAGACTCATAAACGTAATAGATTCATATTGTGGTCATACATATTGAAAGAAAATAAAAGAAATATTGTATGTATTATAACTATATAGGAAGTCCCAAAGTTATCGTATATTGCAACAACATTTGTTGGAATATAATTATTCTAATTACTTACAAGAAGTTAAAACTTAATATAACTTTTACACCAAAATAACATAAAAATGAAGCTTTGGAATGGTGATTATGTCAAGTTTTCTTAGGTGCGAAAACGTGGAAAGATTTAAGTTTCCATTGCAAAACACTATCACTACTTTGATCACGCTGTTAAAGTATCGCACGATAGTTCCGAAATATCCTATACATAAAGAAATTATAAATCTGTTTTCTTCGCAGGCGGCTTTGATAATGCAAGTGCTGCAATTGTCAGATGAACAAATTGCAATGCTTCCACCTGAACAGAGGCAAAGTATTCTAGTGCTAAAGGAACAAATTGCAAAGAGTACTCAACGTTGATGTGTTTTCATCAATTTCTAAATATCTTTGACAATGTATGATGTAACGATGTACGATATATATCTATCAATACATATACTATCAACACATTTTCATATATAATAAAAATTTCGTTTCTCCATTAGTCCTAAATCTTACTTTCTAAACTCGGCAGGTGATTTAGAACTTACGAATTTTTTAAGATGGTTTTTAAACATGAGTTTTGCAAATTTCCAATTAATTTCAATATTAGATGATACGAAAAATTACAAACTAAATTTTGTCACAAGATTAAATATATAGTTTATCTAAAACTGAATTTCATTAATTCAAACTTACTATTCTATTTACATTTAATAAAGAAAAATAATGTTCATAAATGTATAATAACGGAAATGATCATAATGAGTATATGTACGCACGCACACTTTAATCATCTTTAGACTTCTTATACTGGTACAAACCCTCGTCAATTAAGTGCGCATACAAAAGTTTTTGGCACGTTTTGTCCTCGTATATTTCTGCCACCATCATATTGTCACGTATTTCCTGCAATTGTATTTAATTGTGATCTATTCCTATATTAATTAACCTATATTAATTACTCAAACGAATGAATTTTCTAAAAAGAGAAAGAAAAGTACCTTAACTCGAGCCACGACTGCTGTGTTATATATTTTATCTAACTGTGACGCTAGTAGATCTATATCGTCAGACACGAATTCAAGGTTCCAAAATTTGCATTCGATAGCCATGGCGGGCACTTCTATCCATTCTTGCTTTGGTACACGTAAATCATGATTCCTGTAAGGTATATATTGATGAATTATTATATTATTATGAATCAGATGAGATCCACAAGTTGTATAGATAAGACATTAATATTTTACTTACTCTATTGATAAATCTAGCATCTTATGTTCATTATTACCATAATCAATATAATGCAGCATAACGTCTACTGACTGATTGTCCGAACTTTTTTCGCTTTGAGTGATAATACATCTATACCATTGGTCATCAGTAAACTTCGCTATGCATGGAGTATCTGAGGAAAATAGAATATTAATTAACGATTATTATCGTCGGCGCTACTCTGAGCGAATTCACAGTCTTGCTTAATGCAAATTGCAACTCACAATTCTTAAAAAATTTAATTAACGGTCGAGAAGATGCATTCTTTTGTATGTCCAACATTATAGCTTCATATTGCAGATAGTAATCATGCAATACCTGAAAGAGGAATGCATCTGCAATAATTATGCAACATCCGAGAATCGGAGACATACGAATATCCCCGCTAAAATATAACTACTAGAGATGTGCGAATCAAGAATTTTTATGTCGAATCGAATCGAATCGAATCTCATTTTTTTAATTCGAATTCGAATCGAATCGAATCTGCGAAATTTCATTCGAATTCGAATCGAATCGTTAAAAAACTTAACATGACTATTAAACATGCACATAATGATGGAAGATTTTAATATGAAAGGGGATATTGATATTGTAATATCATCTTACAATAAAATATATATTTAAATATTTAAAGTAATTTATAATTAAGTTATTAATTATAAATTGAGTTAATTACAAGTTAAGGGTTCAAATATACAGGCCCAGATGGCTCGTTTTGTACCTGATGCATGTAAATATAATGCACGTTAATATATTTTATTCGTAATTGAATCTTCGATTCGAAATTTTCGAATTATTCGGATTCGAATCATAGGAATTCGGATTCGAATTCGAATAGTTCGCACATCTCTAATAACTACAATAGCTGTAAATTTGTAGATTTTGGGATAGATGTACTCACGTGAGAGAATATGTCGTCGTCGTTCTCCGCCAATTGCGCGTATGAGGTAGTAGAATTTATATTACAACATAATATCACTTCGATATACTTCGTATCCTGCGGAATGCTCAACGACTTGTATCCGCTGAAGAAGTTCTCTTCCTCGAGCGATTCATTCTGCGGCGTCGAAGAGATTACGAAATCATCCGCGATGAATATGTCCGGCCATGAAATATTCTGGAAGTCGGTTAGCCCCTTGTCGTCGTTGTACTTGGACTCCTCGGCTGTCTCGGCCAAAGTGCCGCTGATCACGTTCTCTTTTAACATAACTTCCTGCGTTTCTGATTTTAACGATTTCTGTGAAGTGTCGGCGATCGTAACGTTGTCAGTTATTTCTTCAACAGCGGAATTTCGAACGGAGCTTGATGTTGAGTCGGGCGCTTTTTCTTCATGTATCGCGTTGTTCCATTCTTTGGGTTCAATTTTAATTTTCATATCTGACAAATATTTGTACTCTGAGAGCAATTTAAGAATATTGCGACGTTCTTCTAATAGTTTTATTGATACCTGCAAAATACGAGCACGATGCTTATTCCTGCTTGATATCGACCACGAATTATTGTTATCCGATATTTTTAAAGTAAAAGTTTACGTATATTCATGAACTTTTGACATTGCCTTTTGACATGAATATTACTTACAATCAAATGCGTGGGTAACCGCTGTAGAATGCACACTTCACATTTTTTATCAACAAGAAGAAAATGCAATCGATCTAAATCATGCAACATCCAATTGCCACTTGCGGTTTCCTATTGTAGATACATAGAAAAAAGTTCAGAAAATCGTTGATAAGTGAGAAAAAATAAGAGATATAGAATTATATATATAATTAATATATATATATATATATATAATATAAAATAATATATAAAATTAAAATGACTATAGAGAAAGAGAGATATATCACCGGACTTAGACCGCTAATGACACATTTGGTACACTGTATAGGAATATGATCCATTTTAATGTTTTTCGTCGCACAAGAAATATTACATTCCTCTACATTTCCATAATCGACGAATTCTATCTGAAAACACAAGTCATGAGTTTTAGTAGATATCGTGAAGCCGACAATTGAAAATAATAAATGAAAGATTTCACTGTTCCTCACCTGCAAAAGAGTTCCGGAAACTTTGAGCACTCTACCGCGGTACCATTTATTGTTAATATGATATTTCGCGATACATATATCCCCTTTCTCCCAATTCTTTTCTATTTTGATTTCCTTAGATAAGAAATGACTTTCCAATTCATATTCTATGAAATTAATTAACTGGGCATCTGATAGAAACGGGAAACAAATAGTTTAGAGGAAAGTTAATAATACAGCTTTTAGGCAACATTGTTACAAAAACATGAACAATAAGATTCAACGGCAAGTGTGAATCGATTACTCTATGTGAACGCACGGAAAAAGAGAAGCTTTGTATTATTTATAATGCATTTTATATAATCATATCGCGCGCTGCTATATGTCACATCGTTAAAATTATTTAATCAAAACGACATACTCTGTTTCAAGGAATGTAAATACACAGCACCATCGTTGTCTACGTATGTCGGTATAGCATGGAATACTTCTTCTACTATTTCAACCGGCGGTAGCCAATCAGATTGCATCTTCGAACAATCGAGTTTCTTCTCCGATATGCCAGCGCTAATATTTTGATCTAACAATTCGTTTTCGGACGATGTCGATGAGTCATCGATCTTGCAATTGACGCTGCGACAAGCGTTTTTATTAATCCACTGTATATCATTCTGTTCGTCACTCGACACAAGTCGATGACTGTTCAGCAATTGTCGCTTGAATTCCAAAACAAGAACCGAGTCCGTCTTGGAGAAGTAACTGTGACAGTGAGTCAAAAATGATGAATCAAGAATCATGATAAATAAGTATAAGATATATATTATACATCACAATTGATTGGATTGCTGACAACTGTGAATTAAATATTGGATTTAACGTACTCTTTAATAGGTAAAGCGACGCCATTCTCCACCAACATTCTGTTGACAGAATTAATTTCCACTTTGCTCGGCGCCAACGGTCCCGGTATTTTTATCTGTTTTACCCAAAGTTCTACAGGAATCACGTTATCGCATGTCTCTTGCTGAACCTGAAAGTACACAAAGTATAACTCACCATGTATACATACATAATTCACTATACTCTCCAACTTGAGAGACGAGTGACTCACCAGTTTAGTGATGTAAAATTTGCAGCGTGAATTTGTACGTATAATGTCAGTCAATGTTGAGCAGGACAATGATGGCCATATGGACGATCCACCGCAGGGCAGAATGCCAGCCAGTTTCACTTTGAAGCAATGCGCTGGTTGTTTCGTGAATTTTGGATGCAGCACCTGTATGTCCTTCATCGTCACCGTCTCGTCGATGCCTATGTCGCAGAAGTAAACCAACACCTCTGTCGGAGATTTTATCTTCAAGATCTGCGCGCGGAAGTAGCTCTTGTCTTTCGCAGAGTACACGGCGCATAGCGCGTTCTCAGCCCAATTGTCTCGTGCCTCGGAGCAGTAGCTATTGTAGAACTGTTGCATCGCTGTAATTAGGTTTTCATTCGATTCCTTGTGATCTGTTTGCGCAACGTAGATGCAGTCCGGTGTGACCAATCGTTTTATGCACACCTCCATTTTGAAAGGATCTTTGATCGTCTCTTCTTCCTGGACGGATTTAGTATCGGACTCTGACTTTATCAATGAGAGCTCTTTGATAGAAGAGTCTATCGATTCTAATGTATCGATATTATGTGGAACAATCTTTTTAGTGTGTTGTGATTTGTTGTGATCGCTATCGCATTCCAATGAAAAAAGAGGGAGAAATCATTTCGACAATTTAGATAGGTAAATTGGCTCGTCTAAAATACTGAATGTTTGCATGAAAAATTTTATACAAAAACACGTTACCGATTAGTGACGACTCCTTTGGATTTTAACAGTCGGCTTACGTCCGAAATACCAGCTAGATTCATACAACCGACATATCCATCGTTTATTTTCTTTCGAGGGATCACATTGACACTAATTACACCATCGAAGATGTTCGACAGCGTATCAATTGCTTCTGTTTTCCATTTTCCATCGGGATCGGGACTCACGTACATTAACGCTATTCTTATTGCCTATTAGACGAAAGGTCAACAAACAATAAATATATTGGCTTACTTTTATGTTAAGAAATGTCGATTTCTATGTGTTTGTCTTTTGTACAGAATATCAGAGGAAATGGTAAATAGAAACATCGCTTCATTATTGTGTGAACAGTCTTACCTGTGCTTTATATTGAGTGTATTTATACGGAATCATTCGCAATAGGTCGCAACTTAGAGTAATGGTATGCCCTAAATCCACGTAAAAGACTTCAACTTCATCCTTGGAAATTATTTTCACAATTTCACAGCGATGCCAAATATCGTCCAAGTATTGTGCTATGCATGGTAAACCTGTGCGATAAATTCAGAAAAGAATCAATTTACTCGAATTCCTTCTTCAAGGAGATACTTTCAAAGGAGATGGTTTTCACATATAACGATATTAAAGATGACAATGAAATATTGCATACTCAGAATAATAATGAAATAAACACTAATCGGACACAAATGATTTTATTATCCTTGAAAATTTTAATAAATTTTTTACGATGCTTGATAAATTTCTTTTTACAATTCCTGTTACCAAATTGAGATAAATGTGTTGATAATATTTAACGAGTTAACGTTAATTGGCTGACAAGAGATTCGCGACTGTCTTGATAGAAATATTTATAATCATAAGACTAACCTTCCTTGGGCGTACTAATAATCGGTGGCTCAGTGTTGTTTTCACAATATTCATTTAACTCATCCAACAGTTTCATATATTCAACTTGCCGTTGTCCTTTCTGCACAGATTTACACGATGCGGAATGATAAAAAAAAATGATGCAATTTCAGAGCGAGAGGTAGTACCAGATATCGTGATACGTCATTGAATCTTACCTTTGAAACGTAAATTTTAGCCGGTGACTTGACGTGGGTGATGACAACAGACGTTACCTTATTTAACATAAGTTCTTCTCTTTGATACGCGTAAGCGATATTCGCTAGACGCATCTGCAAAGATAAACTCAAATGTCATGTCATGAATACACGGTGACCGATGAGCACAAAATGTAAAACGTGACTCCGCTGACATACCTGGGCCGTCGAAGTATTGCTACGCGCGTGTTTCATGAATATCATAGCATTACATATCGATTGCGGGCCCATGCTGTTGTCTTTCGAGGAGGTGGTACAAATGTCCACGTGCAGTATGTCCGTGTTGTGCTTAACGATGTGCATAAACACCGAGCTAAAGTACAAACGCATTCGCAATTAGCGGAATTTGACTATCGCACGGATCTCCGAAGAGATACGATCAACGCGATGAATCGATCCGCGAATGGGCCGATCACTCACACATCTCGCAGTAACTTGATGAAATCCTTCGTGCTCTTGTTCGTCCACGTATTCTTCAAGGGTACTATGCCGTGTAAACAGCACTGGATCGCTTGTGGTTTTAACTTCAGGTGCTCGTCCTTAATATTCCATATCCTTGAGTTCGTCACGTGTTGCTCTTTGTAGCCGTAATCTATGTAAAATATATCATACGTCGTCTCAAACGAGTTGCTCGTATTCACTGCGATCACACGCCCTCGGTTCCAAGAATACTTCACCAGTTGCTTGACGACGCACATGTCATCTGTAACGATGAGAGCTCGGTGATGATAATAAACGCGCGAGTAATAATTCAACCACGATGGTTGAATTCAATCTCATGCTCTTACCTTGCTGAAGTTCAACCGAATTGTTCTCGCAGGTTTCCGCGTATGCTTGCAAGTCTTTCTCCAGTTGAATGAATTTCGCCTTTGAGCTGAGATAGCGGACGAAGAATAACGATGGACTGACGATGTGTGTTACCTCTACTTGATGCTTATTAACGTCTTCTGAAAAAAAGAAGGACCTATTAGAGCGAGAATCGAAGATCACATAGAGAGATCAACTTACTGTCTTCGTGTGTCTTTTCCGGCTGGGAGGTCTGCGTCACTGTTGATACGTTCGATGCGACCAGTGTATTCTGCGTTGGCGATTTGATCGCTTTTAGCAACGAAGTTTCATTAAATATATCTGTCAGGAAGATGGTGGTTCAATCAATAGGATCATATTAGTTAAACATAGAAAATGTCGAGTATATTGCTAAGCAATTATCAATTAAATTATGGAATTATCAATTAAATTATGGAACTTATCGAGGGGAATTATACAGCATTTGTCTGCAGGTGCAGGCAAAGTCTGAAGGTGCGGACACATAATCAGAACAATGTTCTTACTTCCGATGAAGTCTTTCGCCACGGGCTCCAACACGTAGTCTTCCGGTAACACTTCAGTCCGTACAAGTTGGTAGCGTGATACTTGCGGCACTTGAAGCGTACAGTGATTTTCCATCAGTGGAATAATCTCTTCGTCGATGGTAAACCTGTGAAGAAAGAATTCGTGAGCAGAGTCGCTGGGCAATGGTCGGCCATTCATCGATATTAAAAATGTTCTTCCCCCGTGATTAATTTGTTTAAGTATCCAGATGTTTTATTTTCCTAATTACTAATTTGCTTAAATGTTAAAACTGGCGAAAGCTACGTGGATCTAGCGTGAGAGAATAACGGGGAACAACAAGCGCGTCAACCCAAGCGTGTCATTTTGCACATCGATTCTTTGCACACCTTTTTTATTCGTTCGAACTTGATGCCCACGACGCGGGCATTTTCTGACTGTTCGCTCGTTCACGAGCGAAATTCGCGACACGCGACTCGCCGATTGCCTCCGTCTTCCGCAAGCACGCAGCAGAATTAATCGATATACTACGGTACTCGCAGCACGAGCGAGTCAAAACTTTGTGACTGAGGGCCTGTCTCCGTTGCGCTGAGGAAATGCGTCGTCCCCTCTTGCCCGCACGGTTAATTGACTCGACCGCCTCGTACTTTCGCGGAAGCGATGAGCAGAATCGGTGAAGTCGCGTGCCAGAACTCCCTCCTTCCTTTTCTCCTCCTTCTTCTCCTCTCTCGTTAGACGAGACTCGCTTTTATCAATCACTTACGACATCGCCTCGTCTTCAATATAATTATTACGAATCACGTGACAAGGAAGATCTGCCATTTCGCTGAGGACCTTTATCGCGTTTCGCATGTCCACTTTGTCAAAATTGTTGGCCGCGTAGGAAGCCATCTGGAGAAAGCAAAGTCAAGTTCGACGTGAGTTGCAACGAATTAAATTAAAAAAATGTGCGCATTTTGTGAATAATAAGCAAATCGTCGGCCGATTATTTCCAACAATTGTACTTTTCATTCCCGAACAACAACGTACCGTCACCGCGATGTTCAATTGTTCCTCATGCGCACGAAGCTGCACCTCAACCTCCGCCAAGTTATTTTTCAGACTGTTGCGCCGTTGCTGCAGCTGGTTCATTAATTCCGCTTCCAGATTTTGGAGGACGCCGTGCAGCCGCGCGAAGTGCTTGGTGATTATCATCTCGACGTCGTCGCATTCTTGCGGCTCGTACGTCGATATTAAAGTCGATTTAAGCTTCTGAAACACAGAAGAATGCACAAGTCGTTACTGCAACGCTCGCTCTGTCTGCTGTCATTTCATCACGATTTGCAGGATAGTTTTGCGGAGGTGCAAATGAGGAAAGACACGAAGTCCTAATGGGATAAATATTGGCTCCGTGAAAAAGTTCGATTCGATTTTCCTGCTTCTTCGAGGGTGAACCGACCGCTTCCCACGTTTCGCGACAGACTGCGTTCTTTTTACACACAGGAGGAAAAGATCCTCCTAGTTTATGCAGCTGAATGAGTAGGCATCAGACGAGAAATGATATCTCTGCTACCGCGATGGAAGAAATTCGTCTCAAAATTCGATTGAGACGATTCAGAACAATTGATCGAGAATTAGAAATCCCCAATAGGAATCTTTCTGTTTCACAAGCGAGTGTTTCATTTAATTTCCATCTTTCCCAGCAACGGAAAATCCAAGCAAACTAGCTTTGTGAAGTCAGCCCGCGAATTAAAAAAAAAAATTTTTTTCTTGCACTAAACATGTACCAAATTGTTTGTAGAAATATGTAGTGAAAGAATTTTCGTTTGTAGTTATTCAGGAAAAAAGTTACAACCCCTCTAACAAGGAGAGTGACACAACGGTCCCTCACCGACTTGAATGGGCTTCGGATATGTTGTAGAACATTAAAAACTAAGGGACATGTATTTTTTTATATCGGCTTCGGAACATGTTTGGGGGGTGAAACCACCCCTTGAAAAAATAGCTATTATCGTTTTTAGCAAATATTTTCTAAATTATGAGTTATATGAAAAAAAGTTTCAGATAAAAGTTTTGCAATATTTTATGCTCTTTGCAACCATGTGTTGAATTTTTTAAAATTTCAAATGTTGGACTACTCTCCCCCCCTCTCTCGTTACTCTGGCAAAATTTTTAAGTTTTTGTAAGGACAAAAATTGTAGAACATTAAATACTAAATCCATCTATATATAATATTAGAAGATGGTATTTAATATTTTGGACAAAAGCAATGAGAAATCGTCATGGTATATGTGCCGCGCTGCCTGAGTAGATAGATACTGTAGGTAGGTACGCTGTGATATTTCTCTACAATTGCACTATGCTTCACGACTGCTTGTGCATATTTTCTTATGCTACAATTAATCGTAATGATATGATATACAATGTATTACACGAAATAAAAATGCTTGATGAAAACATAAAGAAAAGAACAATTTGCATATAACAGTAGCAAATGTGTGTGCAGCATCGCTATTTGTACAAAAGCTTCAAACGCATATTTTCTTCATTTAATGTATAAAATTTATGTTCACTACAATCTGAAAGGTATGTCGATTAAGGATAATTAAAATGATTAAAAAAGTATTTCATGCAATACACGTGAAATAATGAATCACATTATCATCAGCCTAATTAGAAAACCTCCTCACTTCAATTTTTGACAAAATTGAGATACTCATTTTGTTTGATTTATCTCGTCGACTTTGATCGAATAAAATGAGTCTCAATTTTGTCAAAAATTGGAATTAAGAGGTTTTTTAACTCAACCGGTGTTTCGAATTCGCATGGCCTACTCTGTAAATATCCACTTTTAAACCATGCATATTTAAATAAATTGTGAAATCTGGGTGACAAGAATTGATGACTGCAGTTTTAAAATATTGTTTCTAACATGAAGATCAATTGTAAGGTCTAATAGCATTACAATATCAGAAAAATGTTTCATAAAATTTTTCCATAATCGGAAGCCTACATCTAATGGTTGTATTTTTCCCGTTGTACCGGCCGGAATGGTTAGGAAAACAATATCCGATCTAGTTTCCTGAATTACATTGGGACAATGTCCACTCCATGAATCTAATAATAATACGGATTGTGGCCCGACATTCGAAAAAAATATTTCTCTCAACCAGGTTTTTATATAATCTGATGTCAATTTACCTGATTTGGAAGCTATTACAAAAATATTAGGAGCATTGAATAAATTTTCCTGTACTCGTGGACCGAACGTTCCTGTTGGTTCTTTTAATACAATTAACAGAGGCGACAATAATCTACCATCAGCGGAAATAGTCGGCTGTACGGTATAACTATGCGTGGTTGCTGATACAGATTGTACTATACGGATTCTATTTTCTTTGTATCTTTTTGTGCTAAGGTACGACCGGTGTAAAGTTCTAATTGGAACCCACTCTGATCTGAATTGTAGATATTTTCCACCCCGTATCGATTAATATAATATTTGACATTTGTAATAAATGTATCGCATTTATTTTCTAATTCTGATTTGGATAACAAGGATTTTTTCGTGACAAATTTGGTTATTCTCCTAGACACAATATTATGTTTCTTTTTGAATCTTTGTATCCAGCTAGGTAATGCTATGAATCCAGGCATATTTTCCTCTTCTTGTGCTCCATTAGCCCATCGAGCAATGTTAATATCATGAATAATGACTCCTTTTTCAAGTGCTTCAGCGAAACGGTTTAATGTATATTCAGAAATTGCTTTTAATTTTTCATTTCTGCTACCACCTGCATTGATATAGTCCTCCCATCGTCGTAATTGTCGAATTGATGTAACTTTTTTGTACCTTCGTCTAACTCCTTCAATCGTTCTTGGTCTTATTTTACCGCTCTTCCAGAATTCCACAGCTTTCCTTTTATAGTCACTTGATATTTCTGCTTCAACATAAGTACAAATAACTTCTTCTGGAAGACAATATTCATCTTCATCATGCTCCAACAAATCAACTCTTTCCGTCTGTGCGGGATCTCATTTGTATCATAGAAATCAAGTGTTTCCTCCTCTTCTATTAGAAAGTCCATTTTATTTTCCATGTCTGTGAGCATATTTACAATCTTCTCCTTCACTTCCATTTCTTCCGAAGTTAGTAGAACCGGAGTTTTTAGAAGGTTACGAGCAGTGAATGTTGCGTATAGCAATAGTATAACATCCCATGGGTTAAATGGAATCATTCTACAAAATATTAAAATTTAACTATTGTTTAATGCTGCTCCGGTCTTCCGTATATATTATAATATTAATAACTTCACAAAGTGTATAATAATTTAAATCAGGATTGAGTAAGTTAACTTTTTTTTAACTAAGTTAAGTTAAAGTTAATGCCTTGAAAATTTAACTTAGTTAAGTTACTAGTTAATTTATAATGAAGTTAATTGAATTAAAAGTTAAGCTAATAAAAAAAAAAGTAATTGAAAAATTAAAAGTTAAATTTGTTTCACTTCATAATCTTAGGGTTTCAGTTTTACGAATAACGGAAAAAAACAAATATACACTTTATTTAGAACCTTTTTTTATATATTTACAGATACTTATTAAATTTAAGTAATAAAGCCATTTCAAAATTTTTATCAGACATTTTTCCTCAAAGATTGTCGAAAACGAGTCCTCCTGCACTAAACAGCCGTTCGACGTGAGCTGAAGATGGTATTGACGTGTTATATTTTATAAAAGCATGTTTGAGCGCATTAGGAAAATCTTTTTCTGTCACAAATGTATCGGTCGACAAGTAGGTTTGAATAATACGATCAGTTATAATCGTGTTTTCGTCTCGATTTTTGTCTAGCGTCTTGTTAAATATAAAAAAATTGTTGGTTTTACGTAAGACTTGTTCTTTGGATATATTTATATGCACTGCATGGTTTTCGGTATTAAACTTCTGAACACTCGATTTTAAAAGTTCGATAACCTCTATTTTTTTATTTTCATCCTGTATCCAGCGTAATTTAAAATCCGGTATCAAACAGGCAGCAATTCTCAATTCGTTGTGTTTATAGACATGGTGAAATCTAAAAATATACATGATATATTCTTCTATATTATGTAATGTAAAGAGGAAAATAACAATAAAATTATTCAATGACAATTTTATAATTTTTTATCTCTTGTATATGAATATCATATTATAATCGTTATAACAAACCTTTTGCGAATACCTTCCGGGAGGGCATTTATTAATGGTTTTACATAAAGTGTCTGAGTTAGTTTTTGATTCAAATGTTCTTCGATTGATAATAACATAGGCAATAAATATCCCATAAAAACATGTTTGTTTCCTTGTAAGATATCTAGACCTTTGGCAACAGGTTTCATTACCTAGAATGTGAAACAAAATTAGCATATTGTTTGTATAACGTAAAAAAATAAATATTAGGATATAATTACGTAATAAATAAATCATTTATATATTATTACTATAATTTTACAGAAAACAAGAGCAAAACCATTACCGTGCAATATTCTTTAAGGAAGTCAATTTCAGTAGGAGTTAAAGTGGGAACTTTTAAGGAAGAAGTTAGAGTGTTCACTTACTTAATATTGTCCGTTAGCTTCACTATAGCATCATAGAACGAATTCCATCTAAATGACATGCAAGTAAAAAGTAAAAACTGAAACCATTCACAACAAATTAAGAAACTTTCATAAATAGTTTATATAAATGTTAGGATAACTGAAAAAAACTTGAAAAAAAAAACGAAAAATGCTCCTATAAGAACAATATTAAATTCCAAGGCATGTGCTAATATTAATCGATTGGGTTTATCTTTTGAACACTTCATTAAAAGATAATTGGAATGTGGGAGCATAAATATATTTAAAAAGTATTAACCTCCTTAATGTACACATAAAAAAATATCGATATAATTATTTCCCATTAATATTAATTCTTAATTGTTACCTTGTAGCGTTTGGAACTTTTAAGTATTTCCCAAGACTTTTTTTAACCATGTCTGCTGCGACGGCCGATTGATTTTGCTTGTTGAAGATAACTTGACATTTTGCGAATGCTCTTTTACTAATTCCTTTGTACTTAGTATCTTTCTCAGCGCAAGTCGTATCGACGGTACTAACTAAATTTAACGTATGAGAAGCACATCTTTGTTGAGGTGGTAATCTATAGTTTTCTTCGCTATTGGTTAACAATTCTGAAATTTCAACAGATTTTAGATATTTTCTAGGTTCGTTTTCTGTTCCATCCTCTTCTGCAA